TATGTGAGATTTCAATTTGGTGTCAATCAGCAATAAGACTCTGAATATCCGGCTCAAGAAACCTCTTGCTCCGCGTCAGTTTCCGAGTTCTGGGATACCCCATCTTCGGGGGCTGATTACAGTTATTTTTGGTCACCCGGATTAGTTTTTTTGGCCTAATTATAATAATTTGATCAATTTCAAATCGATCTATATAAAAAATAATCTGAAACTCCGGAATCGCCCGTGGCCTCTCGTGAGGGCGTTTCCGACCAGTGTGCATCGGTCGTCGGCCGCCGCTGAGCCGCTGACGTCACTTCCGGGCGCCACCTGTCGTCGGCGGGCTCTCGTCGATGGCGACGCGCCCACTCACGGCCGCCGTCGGTGCCGACAGCGGCGCTGGACGGCGCGTGAGGGAACGCTGCCGCAGCTCCAGCGCCCCCGCCCCCGCCCCCGCCCCCGCTCCCACCTGCTGTAGTTGCGTCGTTCCACGCAGATTCTCTGTCTGATCTGACATGAGGGTTCCGGTGGTATTGCTAAAATAAGGCGGTAGGGTCGTTTATGATCGGATTTATCGGCACTTGAGGCTCACCTCAGGTGTACACGTGCCTAAGTTGTATAAGCAACTGCGGACCCACACCTCCCATACATCGACAGGCATTCGGAAAATATGCTCGCATTTGTATACGACTGAGCTGGTGCAGTGGTGTGATGCATTGATAGGTGACAAAGTACAGGCACCAATAGCAACAATAAAACGGACAGAAGGCTCACCATTAAAAAAAAACATTATGCTAACTTTCATATAGAAGTAAAACTCAATATTTTCGAGTGTGTCGAGTCGATGGGCCTCCAAGTGTAATGTAATATTTCAGCGGATATAAGAATGTGTTTTTTGATAAGCCGACTTGTATCATCATTAGATCCATAAGTAGACAAATTAGAAATTTTTTAAACTGACGCAGTTCTCTCGGCGTCTACGAGACATAGTCTTCCATCCTGTTCTTGTAATTCAGGACAAGTTTATTAGGGACTGGAGCAGATGATACACATTACACATTGCAAATGCATAGGAAGGCATGTACGAATATATTATTGTTCAATAAGGCACACAAAGCTTTTCAAATGTCAGAAAACTTTGATTGCTGCGTCATTGGGTACCTATTGGTTGCAAATAATCGCTGTAACCCCTTGAAATGTATCTTATCCATCCAACTCATTATTAATCATGTCAGGAATACATACATTCACGTGAGCCTTTAGCAAAGTTAATTCCATGGAACATAGCAGTAAACTCGTAACAATCCGGAGCTAAAAGGCTCGACTTGCACACTGCACAGTGGGAATTCGCCCAGGTGCCGCACTATAATGATCGTTATTAAATGCACCATCTGTTCATCAAGTACACATGCATTTCTGTTTTTGCATGTTCTTCAACTTCTATTTTATTCTTCTTCAACGTTTTTGCGTCCATGGCTCTCGGGGCTCTTTCAGTCTTAGAGTGACTCCTCTCGTTCATGAGAAAACCTTATGTAATGAGATGTTCCCACTAGCCCTGCTGTGCTCTCGGTCATTGAGCCGGACCAGTCTGACTCAGTGCCGGTTCTGTCTCTCCATTCCATTTTCTCTCATCTTCCCAGGCGCCTCGGCAGTCCCGCCCCGACAGTGGACTTCTTCTAAATTAGACGGACACAGGGCACATGGGACAATGGCATCCATTTTCCTAAGCAGACCGTCGCGAACTTCAAGGAAATATACCTACCACCATATTTAAATAAGTTTTTCTTATGCAATAGTTTTTTCATGCTTAAAATGATCAGAAAAGATCATGTGCAATATTTACAAAAGGAATTTTAAATCATTTTCATGACTGAAGAGCTATAGAGTACCTAAAGGTATTCCATTTTTACTAGAGGCTTAACAGTGTTTGCGGAGAAAGCTTATTTCCACAAGTAACAAGCTATGACTTACTCTAATGTTCATTGTTCGTAGACCTACAAAAAGTACGTTAACACTGAACACTTTTTTACGCCTTCCAAAGAAGATGGAACTGTAAACTGAACACTGAACAGGAACTAATATCTCAATTTTCCAATGTTTTGTTGACAGCAGTTCACTGCTCAGCGAGCCATTACGCCTCCTCAACGTGAACAGACTATAAGCCAGCAAAGCCCACTACGCACCATTTGCTCGGCTCCGGCTCTGCGCCGAGTGCGTCGGAGGTGCGTGGGTGTGCGTTCCGGCCGCTCGTCTCTGAAGTGCGCCGCCCACGCCTTCCTTCCTGCCGCGCCGCCGACAGTAATGGACTGTTTGAGACGCGCACCGCGCTGCTGACCTGTGACGTCACCTGTTTGGCGCGCATTCTGAACGGCGCGCCGCCCACGCCTAGCCAACTCTCTTATTGAGCTGTTTACTCAATATCCGCGCAGACGAGATGAATTTCGTGGATGGATGGTGTTGATAAAAGGTCAAAGGCTGCCTTGGCCTGACCTTAACCTACCGATCAGTTTTGGTATGAAGTCGTTTTATTTTAATGCTTACGTTTCGATCAGCTTGTTTTTCGTCTTATTGCTTTCGTCAACGATATATCACAGAAATAGGGAAAATAAAGGTATGACACTTGGATTGGACATTTCTTACCCATGGGAAGCATTCAAAAATTGTCTTGAACACCAGGTAAAATTATTGTAGTGTAAAATATAAGCGAAAAATTAACGTCAGTCGGATAAATCACTGATAAATTCCACAAGGGAGTTATTGGCATTCGCAGTTGTAATTTCACCGAGAACGAATACCAAAACATGTCAATTAATTGCGCTTTTCGCATGAGTACATGCTACAACAAAAAGATGTGTTATTTCCAATGCCGCCTGAGGCCCTCCTTCTCTCGCATGTGATAGTGACTCACGTGGCACTCACTGGACATATTGTGTAATTTATTTTCAATATTCCTATAATATGCATCCCAGATCGTAGATAATTGAACGCTTAAGGAAGTCACAGTTGCTGCTCTAATGGTTTGATTTCATTTCAACCGTGAATTCTTAATTATTTTTCTTATCATCAGTGCATGAAATGAGGCGGAAAAGCCCCTGTGAGCATGGTTACATGCCATCGCGTCTTGTCGACTAGCGGCGGAACACCTTCAATTAAGGGGGAGGGGGCGCTGCCGACTTTTGGTCCCATTCTTTCCATGCAACGCCCATAGGCATAGGGCTAAGGTTAAAATGCCCAAATCAAAGGGGGCACGGTGCCCCGGTTCCCTCCCCGTTCCGCCGCCTATAAGGTCTTGTCGTAGCATTAGCGCAGTATCCAAATTCCAGCGATGTTCATGTTTAGCGGCATATCTTTATCAGCTCACCCGTGCAGAGGGCATATAGATATACCAGATCACTTTTGTAAGAGACAGATGAAATCATGAAAGCGAGTCACAATCGGGAAATATTTCAACGGGAGTTTTACTTTATAGCTCGCACGCACTTACTAATGCCATGCCACTGAATATATAGTCTACGACAAATAGTATATTAACAAATATTCCGTCACCATGTCTTGACCACGGTGACTATAAATAATACACGGTGACTATAAATATAATATAAAATATATATAAGTATATATAAATATATATAAGTATAAATAGTCTTGACTATCGTCGCTGTCGCAGACTATATATTTCGTGCTAATGCTCTGCGAGCGGGGCAGACCACTTTGATAAGATCTTCAAAGAAAACTTTATGTTATTTTCTATCGGTATGCTTTTCTTCTATGTCGTTAGGAAAATAACAGTACCTATTACCGAGCAAGAACATTAGCGGTGCGGTAAGGCGTTCCACATATGAGCTCGCTGCTCGGAGCTTCGGTCACGATAATCACTATACCTAAATATTAGTGCCTGAATGCAGCTGTGCTGCGTAGCGTGTGGTAAGGTTCGCCTCAAAAGATTCATCTAAACCAAACCATCGCAACTCTACTCAACATTTCGCAAGTTATGCCGTGTTCTCAATGGACGTCGTCGATGAATGACGAATTCTGTCTCAGCTGGCGGAAATGTACGTATATGTACCCCGTGACCTGTAACAGCGACGGCCGGTCGATCTGGCCGCGAACTGGAGAGCGGATACTGCCAGACGAAAGGGACGCTGGCCAACGAACTGGCCAACTATGTGGTGCGGCAGTCCAGGTTAAACTGAGTTAAACTGAGTTGTCAGTACGTGTGCTAGTGAGTTCCACTGGCACTGCTTGTGGTGCGCGCAGTACCTAAGGCGTGGTGACCCTCCAGTCCTATGTTCTCTCAATGGACCATTTATCTGTGAATGACTTTATGATTAATTTTGTGTGATTCTCTCTCTCTCTCTCTCTCTCTCTCTCTCTCTCTCTCTCTCTCTCTCTCTCTCTCTCTCTCTCTCTCTCTCTCTCTCTCTCTCTCTCTCTCTCTCTCTCTCTCTCTCTCTCTCTCTCTCTCTCTCTCTCTCTCTCTCTCTCTCTCTCTCTCTCTCTCTCTCTCTCTCTCTCTCTCTCTCTCTCTCTCTCTCTCTCTCTCTCTCTCTCTCTCTCTCTCTCTCTCTCTCTCTCTCTCTCTCTCTCTCTCTCTCTCTCTCTCTCTCTCTCTCTCTCTCTCTCTCCTCTCTCTCTCTCTCTCTCTCTCTCTCTCTCTCTCTCTCTCTCTCTCTCTCTCTCTCTCTCTCTCTCTCTCTCTCTCTCTCTCTCTCTCTCTCTCTCTCTCTCTCTCTCTCTCTCTCTCTCTCTCTCTCTCTCTCTCTCTCTCTCTCTCTCTCTCTCTCTCTCTCTCTCTCTCTCTCTCTCTCTCTCTCTCTCTCTCTCTCTCTCTCTCTCTCTCTCTCTCTCTCTCTCTCTCTCTCTCTCTCTCTCTCTCTCTCTATCTATCTATCTCTATGTCTGTCTCTCTCCCTCTCGCGTCTATTTCCACATCTATCGGATCTCGTCTTCGTCAATAAGCCGCCAACGTCCCCCACCGCTGTAAGTCGTTCCGATGCTCATCATCTTCCAACATATTCAGCTCAAACTCTTGGTTTATTTCACACACGCACACACTTTGTTGGATATTATACTGATGCTGATGGGTTCTTTAATGAAACAATACGACTCGACCCCGCTGTATCCTCTCTCAATATCTACACATGACTGAGATAAAATAAATACATACTCGACCACTTGGATACTATGCCCGCTTCACCGACTCGACTGTATGGTGGGTGATGACAGTGTGCTAGTCTAACAGAACGCGCGCGAACGACGCCTCCGAACATTGGTACAACCACGATATGAGACATCCGAGGAGGACAGGGCAGTACAACACATGGCACACGTGATTACAAACGAGACTGTCCGTGAAACCGAACAGCCATGTAGGGCGCCGGTATACGAAGCTACACCGCCTGCCCGCCACGACAGCCCTATCAGACGGAAACTACGGCGGCCGGGCGGCCGGGCGGGCGGGCCTCTACAGTCGGCGACGGTCACAACCACAACCGGCTCACATGGTCCGCTCGGACTGCACGCTGAGATCAGCACATAAGCTGGGCGTAATACTTGCTGCGGCCGGCGGCGGGCGGCGTACCACCGCCGCCGCGCCCGCAGCGGACGGCCCGGCGAGCGGCGCGTCTGTCCGACGGCGCCGGGACGGGCCGGGGCCGGGGCCGGGGCGACGTCAGCTGGTACACGTCTCCAGCGGCCGGCACGGGCTCTGCTGGCCGGTGGGCGGGCCGGGCAGGCACGCCGCGCCGCTGGCCTCCTCCGAACACGGCGTCAGAGCCGGCATCGACGGACGCAGGTACTGCTCCCACTCGAGCAGCTGACCCATGAAGTTGAGGTTCGGGCTGATGATGGGCCGGCGCGCCTTCACCAGCTGGTAGGCCTCCAGCATGCTCATCGGCAGGTACTTCATGATGTAGGCGATGGCGATGGTGGGCGAGCGTGACACTCCTGCCACGCAGTGGACCAGCACGCTGGCCTGATGGCGCCGGGCGCAGTCTGCAACAGAAGACACACCCGTTAGTCTCTGACGCACACACACCCACGCACACATCCATCATCCGGACAGCCACGGACGGCGCACCGGCGTCATATCCGTACCCACCGTCCCCCGGGCCGGATACACCTGAACAGCCTGAATCGACGGCCGCCGCTGCGTCCGACATCAATAACGCCAGCCGCGCTCAAATTACATCGATGCCGGCTATTGCTGGCGACGTACAGCCGTGTGCGGTGACTATCCGACGCAGGAATAGGAACGCCGCACGGCTCCTAGGCCTCTCCCGGATACCAAGACTGTGTCGTGTACTAGCCGGCGCCTCGGTAAAAATAGGAGCGCTCTCACCGCGGTCGTGTTATGGGAGATCTCGCCCGGTGTCTAGGGGGAGGGGATGTAGGTCGGAGGGCGCCAGAGACTTCCGGCGAGCCTTGATTGGTGGCGGCCGGCGCGCGGTGGTCGGTCAGCCAATACCCCACGACCGGGGGACGGGGAGGGGTGCGGGGGCGGTCAGCACCGGATGTGCGCCACGCACTGCCGAGGGGGGTGGATCGACCCGGGTCTGTGGGCGGCGGCGCCGGTCCCCACGGAGTTATTGAGGTCAAACGCCGGGCCGTGCGGAATCTGTGAGATCCGCGGCTGATGTAATAATTCCCGACCGACCGGCCGGTCAGCTCTCACGGTGGTCCTCTCTCTCTCTCCCCCTCTCTCCCCTCCCGGCTCCGAGCAGTTAGCGCCCTTCCAGCGGGCGGGCGGGAGGGGAGGGGACACTTCCCAGGCCATTTGTGACGTCACGGCTGCGCGCGCCGTGTTTTCCATGCATGAGTCATAGCGGCGGCCGGCGATCAATAGCGGCTCGGACAGATGGTGGCAGGGGCGGCGGCGGGCGCCGGCAACGGACAGGGGGCGAGCCTGGTCCGGGGCGACGCACATCCTACGTCCTCACTTGGACTTGGTACAGATATATCAACCAATATCCTCGACATGTAGTGAATCCACATCACAGTGGATCAGCGTTCATTCGATCGGAACTCAGCCGCCCCTCCCCAAGTTGGCTCCTGGAGCCGCCTCTGCAGACGATGAGTCACCCGGACCGCAATCCGTGACGTCAGCAGGAGTCGACCAATGACGGGCGCGGCTCGCGGCCTCGGTGAAAGGTTGCCGGCTGACAGCGGGGCCGAGCGCTGGGGGGGGGGGGGATGATGAGAGGTCGGCCGGTCGCAATGGCCGCACGTCGCATCCATCGGGACTTGGATGGGACTCGCGATGGCAAAGATCAGTTATCAGATAGCCCGGAGATGGTTACTCAACCGATTACGGCAGCATGGTTAGCAAGTAGTGCAAACAATGCCGACTGCCGAGTATGACGTGCGGCGACTTTTCGGATCCAGCAGAGATAGCCATCCATTCCAGGAGCTGATCGCGCGTCAGGAAAGCACAGCCGCTGACTTGGTTGCCAGTATTTGTGCGCAGTTGCGCCCACTTGTGCGCAGTTGCGCGCAGTTGTGTGAGACACTCCATGAGCCGTTAGCGAAGCGTTCCGCGCGTGTGGGCGGGCTGGCAGCGGGACGGCCGTTTGGCTGCCTAATCGGGCCCGCATATATCCAGCGATTAGGGCCACCAGCCAATGGAGGGGAGGCCGAGGGAGCCAGGCTGTCGGCCCCAATCCCCGCGGCGTGATTCATAAACCGGGCCGCCGTTGGCCCCCATTAGTCCATTATCAAACAATGAGCGGCTCGTTGGCTGGTGCTCTGCGTGAAATCTGGACCGGCGCGGCGGCGGCGGCTCGGCCGTGAGGAGCGCCGCGCGCTGCCGCGGTCCGAGCGGTGCGGCACCGGCCGGCGCCCGGTGACTCACGGCCTGAGAAGCCGGACACAGGCGGCGCCGACCGCAGAGTCCAGCCCACCAATCCGCCTGGACGCACAGGTGCGGCGGCAGGTCAAAGGGACTGACACCGCGCAACCGTCGTAAAGGAGCCGCCTCCGAGCGACCCCTCGAGACGCCCCGGCGACCCCGTGTGACGCCCCGGCGACCCCGCCGTCCGCGCGGCCGCCGCCGGCGCCGAAGGCCACGGTAGAGGCAAATTTCACACCGTTCCCGGCTGACTCACGGCCGGTTCTCGCGGTGGCCAGGTAACTCTGGGAAGCCCCGCGCGGCCGACGCACTGGACGCCGGCCGTGTGTGAGGCGTTCACAGGTTTCCGCGGCCGGAGGTACCGCGGCACGCCGCGGCTCTGAGCTCCAGCCCGCTCCAGTCGGCCGGAGCCCGCCGGAGTGGGCCTGCAGCTCTCTCTCTCTCCCTCTCACAGAGCCGGTCCGCGCCGGTCGTGTCGTGCCGTGAGTCACTGTCAGCCGCGCCATAAACCGGCGAGACATGGTCCAGTCGCTGGGCCGCGAACCGGTCGTGCCGTTCTCACCGCCGCCGCCGAGAGAGAGAGCGACCGATCGCGTCATCGAAAATCTGATCAATCCCGTATTGAGAGGTGATCACAAACCGGCGTATTTTCCTCTGACTCAGATGGGATCGGTATTCCGATTACAACATATTGCAAACCATGTGTCTGATTCCATTTCGCCAGAATTGATTCACGGTCTAGGCGCGCCGCGGAGTTGTTTCGCGACCCTGGAGGCGGTGCTCGGTGCTGGGAACCGGCCGCGCCGCCAGGTCCCCGGACTCGACCTTTCCGCACCGCGAGAGCATATCCGCGAGCTCTGTGGGCGTCGCCCACACGGCTCAGTCTGCGCTGCCGTCGCTGCTGGACCCGGAGACTGTCCCCGTGCGTGGGAGGAGGCGGCGGCAGCGGGGATGGCCGGACTACACCGGGAAGTGTCCGGCACGACACGCGCCCGGCGCGCCGCCCAGAAATAGACACGGATATAGCCGGGGACTCCGGACTCGGGACAGGAGATGGGAGAGGCGCTGGGCCGGGCAGTGAGCGCCGCAGGTCCGAGCCGGAGGTCCGGGCCGGTCCGGGTCAGGTCGGTTGTCAGGCAGCGTCGTCCGGAGGGGCGCGGCGGCGGGGGGGGGGGGGCGGTCCCCGAGTCCGACATTGATTTCCGGGCGGGGTGGAGTGGGGGGGGGGGGGCTGGGGCGACCTCGGACGTCCCTCGGGCGGCGCCGCCGCCGACACCCAGTCTGGGCGGCCACCAGGTGCGACCTGCAGTCTGCTGACTCACAATTCAGACAGCTGGACGGAGCTGGGCCGATACACCCGCCGTACAAACACCGGAGGGATGACGGAGTCAGGACGGCTGAACTGAGAACTGAGACAATGGAACCAGGATATCAGTCATGAAAAAAGTGACACCGATTCTCCAATAGCCTACAAACCTCTAAAGGCTGTGTCTATGGTCGATAACTCACCGATGAATTCCAGCGCCTCATCGAAGTACTGGCTGATGTTCTGTTGGCCCGAGTCGGCGGCCGGCAGTGTTTTGTAGCTGATACCCTGCTGCTGGTGGTAGCCCGGCACGTGGGCCGTGACGTTCAGCACACGGGTGATGCCGCAATTCTGCAACGGAACCAGAGTGGCGTCAGTACAGACCGGGGATAATCACGGCGGACAGCTCAGCGCGCCGGGTATGTGGAGTTTCGGCCGGCTCCATTATCACCGTCCGACGTCATGGCTGCCATTGGAATTCACAACTGTCTCAATGTTTATACACACGGGCTAGCCATCGACCCAGCGATGTGCTGCTCTACCCAGCGGCTGACGAGGGGCCAGAGCGAGCTATGAGCGCTGGCGAGCCACGGTGAGCTACGGGGGCACACAGCTGCTCAGTCCCCTCCCACCACCAGCCACAGACGGGCCCAGAGCCACGTGATAGTACCGGCAAACGTACAACCGGCGGGCCCGACAGGAATTTCCAGCCGCCGCAGTCCAAATAAACGAGCCCCGGGCCGGCCCGACGGCGGCCTGCGGGTCGTCCGGCCTGAGCCGCGCAACTGGGCAGCTTCCTGTGACGTCGAGCTCGACGCAGAGGGCGAGGAAGCGAGGGGAGACAGAGAGAGAGAGGGGGAGGGATAGCTCACCTTGAGACTGACTAGATCCTTGGCATCGTGCTGGTTGCCGACGTAGAGGAAGGGCAGAATTTGCGTGACCTGCGCACTCTCGATCTCGTCGGCCCGTTCTCTCAGCTGAGAGACACAGTCGGGGCCGTCCAGACCCATAGGCCGCAGCTCCGACCGGCACAGCGAGGGAAACTCGCGACCAAACGCCGCCATACCACCTGGAACAAACAGAAAAAAAACAGCACAGTCAGTGATGAGACACAGCAGAGACAAGAATGTGATAAGCAGTGGTGGCTGTAAGAATATAGCGTTCCGTTTTCTACTTGACCGCACCTTTTTGGGGCAGTCGTCAGCCAGTGAGAGCCGGCGCGCCCGTTAGATGACGTCAGATGACGCACCTACGACCCTTCCCACCTCCTCTCCACCGAGTTGGACGGAGTGCCGCCCCACCCACCGCCATCGACACTCCCAGACCGCCTGGCGACCGGCACGCCCCGTCAGCACTCCTCCCGGCCAGGTGGACACGTCAGTCCGCCAGCCAGCGCTCGTCGAGCGTCGACCCCGGCACGGCGACGGGCGCGCCTCCCCCGCCTTTGGCCGGCGTCCCTCGCCGCCGTGAATCACACCCGCGCGTGCCGTCCCGTCGCTGCCGACGACCGTCGACGACGACAAGAAGTGCGCGGAGATAAGACGGTGAGTCAGCGCGCGGCGCTCCCCTCGCGCTGACGGTGGCGACAGGGGTGCGGCGCGGCTCTGCGGCACGCCCTCCGTCTCCGCACCGTCTCCGTTCCGTCTTCTCCCGTCTCCGCTCCATCACCGGGAGCTCTGGAAGCCCATCAGCCCACTCCCACCCGGCCCAGGGAGTGCTCAGCGACCGCCGCATAGTGACACATGCGGGCGCCGCCGGCGCGGCCGGCCGGGCCGCCCGCACACCTCCCCGGCCCTGCCCGTATATGAGCCGGGCGCTGACCAGTGCAGCGGCGCGCGAGCTGAGATGGTCTATTCCTGTCGCCACCTGCGTTGGCGACCTCCCCGGGCCGCGCGTCACGCACACACCGCAGCGTCAGGGGCGCGACACTTGAGAAACAGCCGAGCCAGCGAGGGGAGATAAATGCCGAGCCAGGTGTGGCTGGGGTTCGGGCTCGAGATGGGGGAGTTTAGGGAGGAAACGGAAACAAAACTGATCTGATTCGTTAGCGAAAGGAAGTGAGGGGAGATGTGAGTGACAGGCAGGAAGTAGAGAGGAAGTGAGGGAGGGTCCCGAGAGGCAGCTGATGGAAGAGAGATGAAGCACGGTCGTAGGAAGAGGGAGGGGCCGGCGGGAGGAAGCGGGAGGCGGCCGCGGCGCTGTGGAGGCGGAAGTGGAGGCGCCAGGGGACAGCTGCGCAAGCGGCCATGTTCTGCTCCCACAGGAAGCCTGGTCTGTGCCGGTGGGAACTGCACGCGGGAACTGCGCGCCGGACGTGGGTACTATCTATGGGGAGCGGGGAGGGTGCCGGTCCACCCCAGTGTGAGTCATAGCGGCCACCCCGGGCGCGCATGGTCCTCCCCCTGCGTGCGTCAATCGGTGCCCGGTCGCAGACAGGAGGGGAGGGGAGCGGAGCAGCGCCAGGCCGGCACGCCCCCCGCCGTCCGCCGTTCGTTCGTCCCCGCCCGACGCGTTTTGACAGCTGCAATTTAATCTGTCCGCCCAGCTGTGCGGCCTTCCATCGAAAGGCAGCGGGCCCGGCCTGACTCAAAGAGCCCACTGAAAGCCCGATTGAAACTGAAAGACTCCCGAGCCAAGAGGAAGGGTTCGGGATGAATTAGCGAGGGACAGAGGCACCCAGTTGGAAGCCAAACTATGGAACGGGGGAAGGATTTGGCAGGCGGCTTCAAAAGCGTGCTCTCCGGATGTGGGCAGGGCGCGTTTTTCAGGAACAAACACTCCAGCGTTCCCCTGTTCCGGTCGGAACAAGAGGATATTTGAAATGGGGCACAACCGTGACACGTTCCTGTCGAGTGACACGGGAAGCCCTCTTCACCCCTGTGTAATTTGAAATCGTCCACCGAAGCCAGACACACATCCTTCCGGCCTTCCGGTGTCCATTGTCGATTCAAAATACTCCAGCGGACCGAAGCTTCCTTCCGGGCAGATGTGGAAATGAGGACCCGCTCGTCGATGGCCGCCGCAATCGGGGCCAGTCGGCCGCGGTCACAGCGCCGGGCCGCAGCGCGCGCTCCGGAAGCTCAGTTCCGGTCGGCCCAGTCACTGTGTCCCACATCCGTCCGCCGCTCTACGAGAGCGTCCTTCCGACAGAGAGGCGGCGCCCGGGGTGTGACCAGCGCCCCACGGCAGCAGCGGCGGGTCAACCGTCACCGCGGTCCGGCCTGTCACACTGTCACAGCGCGGCCAGTTGACTGGGGACGGTCTGTCAGGTCAGGGTCGTCTGTCCGCGTGACGGCTGTGATTCACAATGTGACAACCAGTGATGATTCGAACCGATCGGGCGGATTTGACCAAAATGTCGCCGCAGACGAGACACACAAGCCCTCGTCATGTTTTACAGGGAACCCTGCGTTCTGTTAGCCTGTCCCTGTAGTAAGTTTGCTATGCGTCATCCCTTGTCCCTGGAGTGGCAGGTGACTCACGGCGATGAAAAAGGAGCTCTCCCCCTCCACCGTTCGTCATTAGCGGCGCTGCCGTTCTCGTCCGTCACCGGGGACACCCTCGGCCGTCGGTGGCTAGCTCTGATGTCTGTTACTCATCGGATCACCGTCACAAACGCACTGACGACCCGGGGATCTGTCACCGGCGCCGCATCAGCCGCATTTTCTAGCCCGGTATCAGAGCCGTGCCGCGCACCGAACCGGTATTGTGCTCGCCTCCGCACCGTCCCGAACCGATTCCGGTGCGGTTCGAGCTGATGGCATCGTCCGATCTGCGCGCTGATCGGGCTGGAAACTGATCGGATTACCGGCCCCAGAAACGGCCGCCCTATCTGCGGGATCGCGCCGGTCGGTTCCGAGCAGTGCAGCGGTCGGCGACAGGGCCGGCCATCACCGGCGCGCGACCTCGCGCTGACAGGCAGCTACGACCGCCGCCGAAATCAGGCTTCCGCGTGCTGGTCGAGGCCGCTGGCTGAGTCACCGTACGCACCGGGCTGCCGGTGCCGGCCTCGGCTGACTCACGCACTGACCCGCCACGGACGGAGCGTGCACGGGCCGCCGCATTGCACGGGTGAGTCAGAGCGCTGGCCGACCGGCACGCCGTGCTCGGTGACCGGCGCCGCGCGGGCCTCCAGAAGTGGGCGGTAGGGATGAGCGGTACCAAATGAGACAATGGTAGAGAGATAGAGAGGAGAGGGCTGGAGTTCCCCCATCGCCGCTCAAGTCACGGGTCAGATATTGCCGACTTTGGTGACAAACTTTCAACCAGGAAGTGCTGAACTCGCGCAGAGTAAAGGTCGGGACCGGTTGGCCTGTCCTCTATCCACCATCCGGGTCACAGGGGTCAGATGTGCCCCCGGGGCGGAGCAGAGGTCAGGACCGCCGGACGCGGGGTCAAACCTCACCACTGTGACGCGGGACAGACAGCCCGAGCGCTGGCCCGCCCCCATTCTCAGGGGCCCGGTACGGGGCGCCGACCTCGGCCGACCGGCACTCCGGCACGCCTACGTCACAGGCTTATTGGTCACGATCGAGCGAACGGAACGATTCAGAGGGAGAAAGGTAACGCAACACTCCTCAGCGTTTACAATTAGAACGAAAACCTTCACCCTACAAGTCAGCAGTAAATCTCAGGATATCAAATAACACTTATGCTATGTTATCCTTCATTATTCTGAATAGACGTTATGACGTTGCTCCAATAATTAATTACCGGAAATTGAGCGTCAATGGTCCCCTTAGCGCTCGCACACGACACCTCCCAGCTCTCCTCCCGTCCTCCTCCTCTGTGTCCTCACCTGTAAGCAGCACGGGCTCCCGGTTGTCCTCCAGGAGGGCGCCGAGCACCATGAAGAGCGGATGCGACGCGGGCAGCATCTCCAAGTCCGTGGTGCCCTCGTCACAAACGACGAACTCGCGGTACGTCCTGCGCTTCAGCAGCTCCTTGGCCTCCTTGTTGGAGGCCAGCTCGGCCAGCGAGGCCTTCCCCAGCTGCAGTCGTCTCCGGTTGAAGCGGTCCATGCAGTTGAGGTTGATGGCGCCCTGGATGTGCGACTGGTTGTACACCATGAAGGGTCGCACGTCCAGCAGGGCGCAGGTGGGGCTGCGGCCCGCCGAGAGCCGCTTGGCCAGCTCCTGGCATGAGCAGTAGCGGGTCCGCGCCACCACGGTGGCCTTCTTGCTGTCGGCCAGCTCGCAGCTGGGAGAAGTGGGCAGGGAGAGCGGCCGCAGGCGGGCCGGCACCGGCGCCGGCGCCGCCGCCTCCTCGGCCGGCGCGCTGATGCTGCGGCTGAAGTTGAGCTGCAGCCCCTCTCGCTTCACGTCACCTCCGATCATGGTTGTGTTCACGCAGCGGTTGGTACGCTACCTTCCGCCGCCACCGCTGGACCGTCACTGACCGGCGGTCGGGCGCCGCGCTCCGCCGAGGCCGCCGGCCGGGGTCGGCCGCGTCAGCTGGCGGAGCGGCGCTGATTCACGGGCCGGCCGACCAATGGCGGGCCGCCGCCAGCGACGCGCAGGAAGCACTCGCCGCCGGCCGCCGATGAATGGCACTGCGACAGAGCGGCTCGCACGCGCGTCGCGCCGCGCGGCGTCCCTCATCAGCGCGCTCACGCCCGTGCGTTGCGCCATCGGTACCCGCGGACCAGGCGACCGCGGGCCTGAGTCATAGCGAACAAGCGGGACACGAGGCTGCGTGAGACGTGCGGCACGACGATTATTCCAGGTGCCGATTGGTGCGGGTGCAAAGCCGAGAGGTGATTACAAAACGCAAACATCCCGCATGATAGGCGCGGACCGTGACTCATACTGAGGGTCACGTACCACGCTCGGGGGGGGGGGTCTGGACCGACTGGGGGGGGGGGGGCTGCACCGGGCACCGAGTGTTCTGGACGCCCAGACCGAACGTGAGACAGCCAGCATTTTAATGTGCTGGATATTTTAGTCGGAATGTCGATAAGATGCCTCGTAAAGCAGCGTGAATCAGGCAGCCTGACAGCGCCAGACAGGCCTGGCAACGACTGGCGCAGATAAAATTAAAGATCGTGTGAATAGGAGATGCTTCGCAGCCAGTAGGTCAACAAATTTAACCCGGAATTCAGAAATATATTAGTTATGTAATATGCTAGCTCTTAAAAATAGACCCAAATGTCATCCAGAATTCCTCGCCTAAACGGTACATGATTTGAATTAACACTCTGGAACACACCTTAGAACGGGACGAGCCCCCCAAAGCCTCACGCAGCTCGGCATAAGAAGGACACGGCAATAGACTTCCGCACAACATAAGTTGCTAGGCATGAAGTGTTCCAATATCATTACCAAGCCGGGCATGAGCCGTGCCCTACTAGTCCTTTCCCGCATTCACCATGCCTTTGATGTTGCAAGTGCATAATCCAGCATCATCTTACAGAACAAGAGAATTGAACTAACTTGGCGTTACGCACTAATGTCAGGTACGAGTATACTCAGAGGCACGGCAGTTGACATAGGTATTCTGCCATAGTTAGCGCTCAGATGCAGCGTTGTAAAACATGCTACAGGCACACACCCTTTGTAGCGAACGACACATTGCGAAACAACGACAGTGTCTGTGAGTCAGAGGCTGTTGACATAGGGCGAGAGACGAGTGCGGTAAAGTTCCGTTATTAAAATATCACATCCCGGCTCGCTGTCTGATGAGTCAGACAGTCCCTGTGCCTCTAACCTCGTGCCTAACGTCGCAGTGCACCTGCCTCCGCAGCGACTCGCTCGGGTCGGACCTCGGGCGGTCTGCAGGGTCTGCAGCGACCTTCTGTAGTGACATTGTCATGCAGACCACACACGAGGTGACTCCATAACGGGAACGGTACAGCTGCGACAGGATCTGATCGAGTGGTCACTGCAGTCCGAAACGGGAAGTCATTGAAATCGGTGTCGCTCAATACTTAATGCAAAGATGTTGAAGGGGTTTACGAAATGTCCTTTATCAGGTAACCTAGGCAGGCAGCTCTTATTTGGTTTCCGAAAAGCCTAATAAATAGTAATGAGTAGCGATACAAACCATGCTCTTTGAATTTGATTGATGATCGAGTTTGATTTTAAACTTCTGTGCTTTTTAGAGGCAAAAGTAACAGATGTTATTAGCTTGTTTTGCCAACTACAGCGTATAGACACGACCTGCTTTATAATGCATTATTTTTTATTTGCCTACTAGCTGTTGGAATTTGACGATTGTTTTGTAACTAATGCTCAACAGGTGCACTAAAGCTGTAAACATAGGTAATGCGTTACTGTCTAATCTCGACTCTGTCTAATACTCGTATTTGCATTAATTAATTCTTCACATTGCAAGATAAAATTCAAAGTGTTCGGGGCGTCTTTCCTAGAAATCGTTCACCTTTGAGCTATATTGTCCTTCTCAATGTCTGCATCACTCATATTCATATGTTCAATTCTAACTATGCAGTATGCACGTCTGTGCAATGCGGATCTGAACTGATCTGAACCGGTCCTGTGCGGGTAATCTTCCATAATCGCAAGAGCTACAGGTATCGATGAATCGACTGGTTTGGAGCGCTCCTGCCACCGCCATCAGGTGATGCATCACCGCGCCACTTCCGTCGTTACGGCGTGTTCTGGAATGATCCAAGGTCACAGCACACATCACTTTCTTCCCCGAAATATCCGGTGCATACCTGCACAGGTGCCGCCGTGCCGGCAGCTCAGTCGATAAAGTGGCCGAGTTGTAACGAGCCGCGCTGTGTCGATATAAGGGGCGTCTGGGGGTGACGATGGTGACGGTGGGGAGGGGGGAGGGGGTCTGTCCGGGTGGGCGGGGTGCGGACACTGCAGGGGTGCGCCGCAGACGGCCAGGGTGGCGTCAGGCGGACTGGTACGCCACCTCCTGCTGCACGCTCCGACCTCAGACGACCCCACGTGCGCTGCACGGTCCCTGAGTCACCGCCGTGCTCCGTAGACGGAGCGCCGGTGGCTGCGGCGGCAGCAGCGGCGCACTGGTGACCTGGCCCGGTTCCCGCGACCCCTCCACTACCTCCCCAGCCCCGCGCCGTAACTCCTTGTTGCCCCAGCCGGCATTCCAGCGGCCCGGCCCGCGCTCCGTTCCACCTCTGCTGGGGCAGACGTCAGCGGTCAGCAGCTGGCGGCGCGCTGACTCAGCGGCCGGCGCGGTCACTACAGACGGGCCCGCCGTCCGGACACGACCCGAAATACCTCCGGCACGACCGGAGACGGCCCGAGAGCGGGCCGGCCGCCGCTGCTGCCAGCTGGGCAGGACCGAGACGGGGCGGGGCGGGACGGAGGGCAGACGGGGACGGATGGCTGTCGTGTCTGCGGCGTGGGTCACATCCCTGACGCACCGACCTCTCACGCTCAGCTGACGGGCCGCCCCCGCCCCCGCCCCCGCCCCGCCCTGGGTGGCCGTCCACTCACCTCTGAGGCATTTCCTCGGCCGGGCTAACCAACCGGCCGGACTGACTGATCTGCGCCGTCTTCTGATGGTCGATGATGTGCCGAGAGCGGCGGCGGATGAGCGCCTTTTCAGGAGAGGCCAGAACCGCGCCAGCCAGCTGGGAGTGAAAATAAATCGAACGGCGCGCGCCAGACCGATACCGATTTTAGTGATGGTTTCAGTGGGGCTATGGACAGAGGCCTGCCTGCCTGTTTCAATGAAGTAGGAATGAATGAGCCATGGCGAAAAGTCAAATTTGCGCTAATTTTGAACGAGTGAACATTGACAAATCCAAGAGAAAGCAAATGACATATTACGAATTACGATAAAGAAAATCAAAATACTACGATAAAGGAAATCAAAATATCTACTAATAATTTGAGTTCTAGTCAGTCCAAATGAATAACGATTAGCATACCTAACATTTTATGATCCAGATGCCTGAGTATGTCACGAATCGGTCCATGTGTCCCCATCGTTATAGCTTTGGTTGTTCGCATTCTTATGCTGGGCTACAAGAAAGTACCTATTTGAGCCTACAAATTCATTGTCACTGCCGGAACAAAAATAACCAATTGTAGAAAGTTAAAAAAGCGTCAGGTGACTTGCAACTTTTTTTCAAATACACATCATTTTTAATCAGAGGAAGCATAAACAGGTCTCTACCTTTTTCCTTTGAATAAGCGCCATGAGACTCTCAGTAGGCTAGGCAATAGGCATGTAAGCCATGCTGCCTAGTAAGCGAAAAAAACGATCACACCGCGCAGTCGCAGTCCGCGCAGCCGGAGTCCGTTTGAATCATGGTAGGAATGGGCTATGAATTATGATGAGTCATTTGCGATCGATCGAGAAGAGTACTCAATGACACGGTATCAAATGTCATTAAACGTTCTTTTTTAGCAGAATCAATGGTAGACAACTAACGTGCCTAATGGATGTCGCAGAATGGTGAGAAGAACCTCAGCTTGGATTCCATCTAAAGTATGCACGATAAATGCTGCAAGAACAAAACCTGACTCAGCTCAATTGAGTCAGGGCAACCGGCAGAGTCTGAGATCATCAAGCTCGACACTTGCATAAATCGTTGACATCAACGCACAGCGATCAGTCCCTTTAGCCACAGAAATGTTCCCCGTGTGTGTTCAATTTTTAGAGTAGTGCACTCATATCCTGTTATGAATTATGAATGACGAGGGGGGGCATCTTTCGTCATGGGTAGTTTTCTTTTCTTTTCTTTTTGCAGCCAGATGACTGAATATCAGGCGTGCTTCCGGCAAAATCAACAAGCGTGTCATTCGCAGCATAATTTATACAGATTGTGAGACAATACCTCTGACTAACTCTGGAGATGACGTGTTACTTCAGAGTTCAGACAGAGAAGGAGTTGACGTTACGCAGTAAAGTGAGGCGTGCTCTGGTTCATCGACAATTAGCTTCTCTGTTTCGCATTCATGACGTGGAATCATGCGATGCACACCGACGATGAAATATCCTGAATGCCTAATGTATAGGCATTAGCATGCGTGGGTAAAGGTATGTGAAGTTGAACCTCTTCGAGTCGAACGCTTGATCTCGATCTCGGGCAGATAACATTGCTACACCGTTTACTTGTCACATCACGACGAAAATGAATGGGCCCAGATTCACTGCTGTGAGCGAAAGTTTATGTTAATTTAAGTTTAAGTTCATTTGATAAACACATTTCCGCGAGACGCGTTGCTGCGGTCATTTGCGGACGTGTTTCAGCTCTGCCGTGCGGCGTTTGACGCATGTTTGACCAACATTTCCGTAACTCAGCGGATGTGTTGAAACAAGGCGAGAATGATGAAATGGTCGCAGATCGCTAACAGTTGCATCGTTCGGATGCTGAATTGCGAACTTTTAATATCAGCCTAAAAGGTCAAATAATCACGGCGAGTGTCTGAGTGTCTGAGGTCAACCTCAGCAGTTGAAAGGCATCGGAGCAGCCAGGAGGAGAGCCTAATGGAAATTGCTTATTTGCGGCATATAGGTATCAGCCTGCACTCAATGCGTAATGATGGTGACTTAATTGCCAGTTTGTGATCATTCCAATTAGATCATGATCTATAGATGGCTGCAATTTCCGTGTCAGTAATGATTCAAGGAGCGTTTTCTATCGCGCTCACATCTCACGACCTCGGGGAAAGTCGTTACGGTGGAAATATCTTATAGCATGAACTAGTTTTATAACCATGCCTGGCAGTGCTGATATTCCTGCGATACGTTGGCATTTTTGAGGAAAGGATATCCGACGGAA